GCGGAATAATAAAGTGTGGTAATGGCATAATGTGGTAATGGCATAGTATATACTGTAGAATTTTTATTTATGCAAGTCCATATTGATTTTACATACGGTATATATTTCAGTAGTCTTCTTCTTCTAACTGTTCCTGCCATGAAAGGGTCATTCAGTTGTGTTTGTCCTAATGGCCCAAACTTCCTAGTCCCAGTACTTTAGGGAAGAGCATAGAAAATGAACAATTGGATTAAAAGTGCACATACTTTTTATGACCACTAGTCAGATCTGTTGTGGTGCATTTAATGCATGCATATTAACGCATGTTAAAGCGACAGTTTTTAACAGTTCTAGAAAACGTGGTTGCAAAATGAAGAGGAAAGCAATATTTTTTTCTGTAATATTAAAACAGAAACCGTAATGGTTTTAGATTAGCCTTATTTTATCTTTTTAAAACTTACATATTTTTAAACTGATGTTTTACATGTGTTTTTATTATTTTTATACTTAACATTTTACATAGTTAACATAGTGTGTTTGTAAGTTCACCCTGTGCTTGCTTTGGTTTCCTCTGGATACTTCCACACTCCAGTAGACTTGCTGGTAGCTTATTTGGCTTCTGTCTAAATTGTCCCTTTTATGTGTGTAAAAATTGGCTATTTGGCTGTGTCATTATTATTATACAGGATTTATATAGCGCCAACAGTTTTTGCAGCGCTTTATAATATAAGGAAGACATGACAATTACAATGCAATTCAAGACAAGATGGTAAGGAGGGTCCTGCCCGTGAGGGCTTTCAATCTAATAGGGAGGGGCAAGTGGTACATGAGGAGGTAGCTGTGTGGGGATGATTTGTTTCCGAACGTGGTTGAGTGGTTAGGTTGAGGTGTTATAGGCTTTCCTAAAGTGATGAGTCTTTAGGGATTGCCTAAAGCAGGGGTCTCAAACCTCCGGCCCTCCAGCTGTGGTAGAACTACAAATCCCATGAGGCATTGCAAGATTCTCACAGACATGACTCCCGAAGAGAGATGCATCATGGGATTTGTAGTTTCACCACAGCTGGAGGGCCGGAGGTTTGAGACCCCTGGCCTAAAGGCAGTCAAAGAGTGAGATAGTGGGACAGGTTGGGGTAAAGAGTTCCAGAGGATTGGAGAGACTCTAGAGAAGTCCTGTAGGCAACCATGGGAGGAGTTGACGAGGGAGATGGAAAGCAAGAGCTCTTGTGAAGAGCGGAGGGGATGGTTCAGAATTTCTAACAAACTAACATGGGTCCATTGCAAGATGGAGGAAATAACTGCACGGACATGGCTATCACAACAGTGACATCCCTTCCGATCAGGAGGGAATTCGTGCACAAGGATCTACAGCTGATGCACAAATAAGACACATTTTTGTTAATAATTACGGTACTTGAATGCATTTTTAAGAACTACATTTCTGAGCTTAGTGACTTTCATCATGAAATATAAGATGTAAATCAAAGCTATTTGAATAAAAAGGTGTAAACCTAAATTTCTGTTTAATAAAATCTTAAGTACAATTACTTTTCTCTGCACTATTGCCTCTTAGTCACCCTCTGTCCCCTCCACTGCAAGCTAAATTATACATTTATGTCACTTTAACTATAGGGCATTTAGAGGGTCCATTTGTTACTGGTTGAACGAGGTCACAGGGCCCAGACATATTTGCCAGCTGTTTGCTCATATTATATCTGTATAAAATGTATTCCTATTTGCCAGCTGTTTGCTCATATTATAGTCTGAATAAAATACAATATCATTTTTGTTCACTTTGCAATCTGATATTTCTTGTTTACTCAAACAAGGATTGAAGAGATGAAAAGTTTATTAGACAGTTTAACCAGTTGACATCCGCGGTGTTAAACCCCCTTCCCATCCAGGCCATTTTTCAGTATTCAGCGCTGCGGTACTTTGACATTTATTCCGTCATGCAGCGCAGATGGTTATGGTGAGGTGAGCCAACTATTGTTTCTATGCAGTGCACTAATGAGGGCCGACAAACCTTAAACAGCACAACTTTTTTGTGAGGCCAGGTTGTCATGGACCTGCCCCCTGGGGATGCTTCATCAAGCCGGGTCCCTTCCTCAGGTAAACATAGCGACAAACTGTTAATGCACATCCCAGTTATATATGCAAAATAAAAACTCAGTGCCTATTCCCCCTCTGACATCATATTCCCATCAAAAATTTACAGAACGTGTGGGAAAACATAAAGAACTGAAGTGATGTAATGTTTTTATTTAAAAGTGACCCCCTCTGTATGTAAATACGGAATATGGAAATATCAGTTTGCAATAAAAACCTCCTCCATGATATCAAAAAACTGCTGTGTTGCCCATTGTCATGGCAGCCAAGGGGAGGGACCTAGTTCCTCCTTTCTGGGTTGGGCCTCAATCCTGGGAATTTTGCGCATACATTGCCATGTCAGTGGGAAAGACACTGAAGTGCTGGTCACACTGTGTAAACACATAATACATTTGTGACAACATACACATGTTTATCAGAGGGGGCAGGGGTGGAAAGTGGGGTAGTGATAAAGCATGCATACCAAATAAGCTATACTTCAAGATGAAGATGGCAAATGATATTGTTTGGTTGAGTCTGTGACATATTAAGATGTAGCAGACATGCTGCAGGACAAACACTAGTCAACAGTTAGTGGCACTGGAAAGTGTGACATGTCTTATATTCTACATGTGATTTTGACAAAGTGGGTTATAAGGGTCGGATGTAGGATACGTTTGAAGTTTTGAGTGTGTTAAAGGCCTTGTTCACACCAAATGCAGAGCAGATCCAGTCAGGTTTCTGCACACGCAGTGCAGTGGGTTGTGCCCCGTTTTTGATGCATTTTTGATGTGTTCCGGGCCGTTTTTGCTAAACTTTTTTAAGTTTAACATGGGCTTTCAGGCACTTGCATGCGTTTTTGATGCATTTTTGCGTTTTGCATGCATTTTTGATGCGTTCCAGAGCAGATCCAGAGCAGGTAAAATAGGGCTTGCCGCAGTTTTTTCACCTGCTCTGGATCTGCAAGCTGCTATGTGAACTGGAGCTCAAAATACCATAGGAATACATTGGACGCAGTTTTGATCTGGTCTGCACCTGCTCTGCTCTGGATCTGCTCCGCGCTTGGTGTTTACAAGCCCTTAAACTCCTGCTCAGCATTATGTTAATGATTTCTAAACAATCAAAAGTTGCAATCATGAAGTTAACTTGTGATATCACAAAAAGATTAATTTAACTCTATCACATCCCCAACGTCTCATAATGCAATGTATGTGCCTTTTCTCTGGCTCCCTCTGTATTGCTCTATGAGTCCCATGTGTTCTGTCCTGAGCACCTTGTACTGTGTATTGGCTTTGAGTTCATACTTGTTCCCACTTCCTATTACCATCTTTAACTAACCCCCCCACAGGGTTTATTCTAATTTAAGTGCACTGTTTAAGCAAGGACAGGGGACCTGAATAAATAGGCCTACCCCTGTCTGTTAGTATAATGTTCACTTTAAACATAGTTTAAAGGAAACCTGTACTGAGAGAAATGCAGAAGCTGCCATTGCTCATCTAGACTAAAAGGACTAGTTACCTGGCTGTCTCTGGCCTCAGTACTTTTCAAGTTACTGAATGCAGATAATGAAGTTAGAACTCCAGATCTGCATACTCATTCTGGATCAGTGATTAAGGGCTTTTTCACACGATGTCCGGATTCTGTCTGGACCAGAACCGTGCGCTCCTGCACCCAAAATGCATCCCAATGTCTCCCTATGTGTTTTATGGGCTACAGTTCTCACCAGCGCAGTGCGTTCTGGTCCGGACAGAAAAAATACTGAGTGTCACGCACGGACGCGTCAAACGCAACAAAAACGCGCCGGAAACGCACCACACTGCAGATAACATACTGACAGCCCCACTCCTCTGCGGGGCGGGCTTTCGATGATCGCAAGTACAATCTGCCTGTCCAATCTGCCTGTCCAGATCGTACAAGCTTTAAATTAGCTTACAACCATCGCAAGACAAAAGTCTTGCGATGGTTGTAAGGTGTATGGGCACCTTACGATTATCCCACGATAATCACTGGAAATCCCGCGATCGTACGATAATCGCAAAGTGTATGGAAGGCGTGCAACCGTTTCTACTGTACGATCGCACGTCTTCCGTCGAACAAGCAGGCTGGAAAATCCGCCGAGAATCGTACGACTGCCGAACGGGCCGGTGTGTGCATGCGCACACTGCCCGTTCAGCATTGCAGTCATCGGAGGCCCGCCCCTCAGCGGGGCGGGCTTGCGATGATCGCAAGTACGATCTGCCTGTCCAAGATGGGCAGATCGTACGTTTTTTAAATCACTTTACAACTCTCGCAAGACAAAAGTCTTGCAAGGGTTGTACAGTGTATGGCCACCTTTAGCAGCTCTGCTCCCCTCCCCAGCAGCTTCTGCTCTGTTCTTATATTAGAAAGGCTGCTAAGTCAATACTGGGAGGGTGGAGCACTGCAACACAGGGCCTATAGCTACAGAGCTATATTAGGACTTATTTGCACACTATCCATAGCAATCAATAAGGCTGAGTTTTTTTTAATTTTTATTCTTATGCTATTAAAATTACATCTGTAACCTAACTGACAGCAACAAGTCAGCTTTTCCTACTGCTTTTAAAACTGGTACAGATGATACAGACATCAGATGTATTATCCTATGAAAATCACTAATTTAAAAAAAGTCCATCTGTCATTTATTATTTGATATGAAACATTTTGCAGCTACATGAGAAAAAAGGAGGACTGAACTTTATTCACATGCAGTCTAGGACAGTAAATTAAATTTTCTCCCTTTATGCTGTGTGTCAGGGATTTCTTTACTAAATAATTGGTGTAATTTTACTTTTATGAACAGGTCCTGTTACCCCATTAAATGTACTGTACTGTTTAGTTTTACATGATTGCAATGGTCCTCTTCATTGATGTCACCAAAGGAGTTGCCATAGTAACAGACTCCAAGAATAGTTATGTGATGCTACCCAGTGAATCAGCTGTTCAATACTTACCTGTGATTGAAAAAGGATGAACACGGTAAATTATTTGTCTTTCCCTGTAATAGTTACCAGTCAAAGACAAAATAACACCTTGAAGAAAAAATGGGATACTTACCACTACCACTGCCACATGATGCGGGTGAAAACTGGTATGTTTGCATTTTAAATACCCTCATTTGCTTAACTGTGTATTGTGAATGATTGATTATTTGTGCAAGATAGATAGACCAGTATAAATAGATGGATATAGGCCTCAATGTTTTCAGTGTTTCTTTAAATGCAGTTTTATCACGGTTGCTTTGAAAAGCAGATATTTTCATGTATATTAAAATAACTAGACATTTGTTATTTTTACATTTGTTTTACTATTGGTGCCAGCCACTATTACATTTCACATAAATGTAGCTCATCTGTAGAAAAAATATGTTGATGTTATTTCATCATTGTAAATATTTGTTATTTGATATGTAATTAATGGTAACTTAGCAGGCTATTGTAAATTTGTTTTATTATTTATTACTTTAAAACAGTGGTTCTCAACCTGTGTAACCTCAGGACCCACATTTGTCCTTGGTCAATAAGTTGCGACCCAAATCGCACTGCAATGCAACACTCTGCATTAGGGTACCACACTTCTACCCAGTCTGCCTACCTTACGAGAACTGGAGGGGATTCTCAGCCTGGGGTCTCGTGTGGGCTGCTGTGCTGTGACGGAGCTTCATCCATAGGTGTATTGCTTATACAGTTCCCTTGCACACCCTGTAGAGGTGCCCGGAGCCAGAATGTGACGTCACTCCGGTCCAGGCACCTCTACAGGACACGTGAGGGAGCTGTAAGCAATGCACATATGGATGGAGCTCCCTTGCGGCCATAGCCCCATTTCATCCCACCTCAAGCTGACACTCGGTGCTGGGCAGCATATTTTGAATGGCTGCTTGGTGCGAAAATGGACAGTGCTGCACTAGGGGGAGGCAAAGGAGCCTCTCACCTAAAAAGGTGGAAAGCATGCAGCGACCCACTGAACACAGGGTCGCGACCCACTTTTGGGTCACGATGCACCAGTTGAGAACCAAGGCTTTAAAATGATGTGTGTAGAATGTTTTGCCTGCTGCAAATACTTCAGGCTATGGTTATTAGCTCTTTACCTATCATAATGTAGTTGTTGGGTCAGGAGATTGAGAATTGAGGCCACCCCCATGATGAAATTTGGGGTGGGGAGGGTTGGAGGACTCTTCTAGAGCCTGCTTAGGAAAGGCTCAACTTTAGTGGTTAGTGGGTGGAAGAATACTCCTTACATTGAGGGTCAGTGGCAGAAAGAATGCCCCTTACATCAGTGTTAGTGTAAGCAAGCATGCCTCTTTTCCTGGGGACATTGCAAATAGGAATTTCTAATAGTGTAAGTGTAAGAAAAGACTGTGAAAAGGTTGAGAAAGACTGGTTTAGGGGGAATAGAGAGGCACACATAACTTTCTCCAGGATCCCACAGTAGCTGGTGCTCCAACCCTCCACTTTCCAGCAACACTAAAGGAGTGGGCCCTGGACGTCATCATGGATAATGCTGGCCGCGGTGGGATTGCACTGTATGTGATAATATCAGCAAAAGTGGTGGTGTTGCTACCGATCAAAAAACAGCAAGAACAGAGGCTTTAGGAACACTTCGATAAAGTAGAGTAAGGTAAGTAATTCTCTCTGTTAAATTATACCCTGGCAAAACAGGCATTATTTCTTTAAACTGCTGGATGGCGCGCATTTAACTTTTGGGCAGTGTTAAGCTTTAAAATATATGCTAGGATGTGGCTGTCTGACTGATCTTGTGCCTTTAATAAAGTTACATAGTTGTTAAGGTTGATCAAGTTCAGCCTATATGTGTGTGTGTGTGTTATGTATGAATGAGTCACTAAGAGTACCAGGGCCGGTGCAAGGATTTTTGCCAACTCAGGCGAAGGTGCATTTTGCAGCCCCCCCCCCCCCCCGGCACCCACACACGCACGCACACACACACTGCCCACCTGAGTCCCTGCAATCCCCACCAGAGACCCCCCCAGAGCCCACCATAGACCTTGCACAGAGACTCTAAGGTGGGCTGTGCAGGATATATGATGGACTGTGGAGGGTCCCTTTCCCCACACACATGCTGTTCCTCTTACCTGCAGCTCCCCAGCCTGCTTTCAGGACATGCCTCTTCTTCCTCCAGCCACCGAAGCATCTTGCTGGAGCCTCCGCTGGCCGGGGCCACGTCTCCCATGGTCCCATCTTCTGTGCCCCATATCATCCTGTGACTCCATGTTATCCTGTGCCCCCATGTCATCCTGTGCCCCCATGTCATCCTGTGTCTTCATGCCATCCTGTGCCCCCATGTCATCCTGTGCCCCATATCATCCTGTGTCTTCATGTCATCCTGTGCCCCCATGTCATCCTATGCCCCCATGTCATCCTGTGTCTTCACTGCCAGTGCCAGGTCCCATTAGCGGCGAACTTTCCGGGTGTAGGAGAAGAGAAAACACACAGCGATCGCCGCTGCCACCCCCCCTCCCCTGTGCTCCGGGCGGCTCCCGAGTCCCTCAACAGGTCGCCGTCGCCTCCAGGATGACGACGCCGTTGCTCCGCCTCCTGCATACTATGTCAATTGAATGTCCTCTGTCTAAATTTCTACTCACCTCCTCATAGAACGATAATAGGTTTTTGGTAACTTTTTAGTAACTATCCTGGAACAACTATACAGATATGTAGGTTTGACTGCACTCATGCTGCAGACTTGTTTCAGGAGTCAAAAACTTTTGAAGCCAGAGACAGCCAGTCAGTTAACTTTTTCAGAAGGAGCTCAACAATGGCAGGCCCTGCAGTTCTTTTAGTAGAGTTTTTAGGAAAGAGGAAAATGAAAAAGAGCAGATACACTGGTGTTCATGTAAGAGATTGGTGATTTACCATTACAGAAATTACAGGATACCATAGTTTTATGGCTGCATGCAGTTTTGAAGCTTCACATGTTTGGTATTTCTATTTCTCCTTTCATTTTTGGGTGGTTTTCAGGCTTAAAATTTGCATTTTAACATGTATCCGAAAAAGCAAAAAGGCGCCGCAAGCAAAAGGGTTGGGAAGTTGAAAGAAAAACTATCTTACTGACTGGATCACTGGCTGAAAATATGAAAAAAGGCCTAAAAAAGAGAAAACAAATCCATCCACCACAACTAAGAATTGCTAATCTGCAATATATTACATGTTTGCTTTTGGGGTGAGATACACTGGGGGCCACCTTACGACAGAAGAAGTAATAAGAAATGCTATACTTGGGAGAAGGGGGCACATACTTTATTTTGGAGTTTAATTTCAGCTTAAACTGGGAACAATTAAGCAATCCTATGTGGTATATCCTTTTTGCGAGTGCTTCAGACAGCCAACAATAGCTACAAATGTACTATTGTATCTGGATTTGTGACCTTTTCCTAACAGGAGTAGGGTGAGGACAACAGGAGGCATAGCAGGCATAGCTGTACTTTGTACAAATGGCAGCAACAGGTAAAACTCTGAGAGTAGTTAAAATTCAAGTAAGGGTCCATTTAGGTGGGTGTTGTGGATAACAAATGGAGAGAGGAGTGTAATTTGGGAGGCAAGTCAGAGTGTATTACCAAGAGAAACATATGTCACACATCACACAATAAAGAGCAGAGATGAAGTCAAGAGTCACACTAAGGTAAGGTTAGGACAAACTGGGCCACTAACTGAAGTCAGTCTGAAACATCAAACAGAGTAGCACCCATAGGCTAAACACTACAATCAGTAATAGTGTGTGAAATATGTTGCCTTTATAAAGGGACCATGACCAAACTGAACATGCTCTGACACCCATTGATGTGTAGGAATGCTCCGGCATGGTCCTCCATAAATTAAATGCTTAGGCATGATCCAGGACACAGTATGTGCATCTGTGGTGTGGGAGTTCCAGAGAAGGCCTCAGGGGAGGAAGTAGTCACAGCAGTAACACCAGGTGGACAGAAGTACCCAAGGGAACCAGCAAATGAAGCAGCAGAAGGCGATGAGGACTGCCTCCCAGTTGACCACATTCTGAATGGATGACTTGGTCACATGTGATAGTGAGGTCTCTAACAGTACTTTTCTTCAAGTACTTTAATCCTAAGGCATATGTCTGAACTGTAAAACTTTTTGGAGTTTGGTAAAGTTTTGTTTTGATAATCAATTTCTGATGAACCGCCAAGTGCTAACATCATAGAGTACAGTCACATTGACTTGCTAGAGGCAGTTCAATTTCTTCTTTGCTTTTTTATAAAAGATGCTTCATTTTCTGAATTTATAAGCTTTACATCAAAGCTACCGTTTTATGAAAAAGAACATTAGCTATTTCAGATGTCCAGTGATTGAATGAATAACATATACGATATCTTCATAGTTTAATATGTCATAGAAGTTAGTTGGGTTACTGTGTTTTAAATGAAAACTACTGTATATAGAACATGTTTTATTAGTACATTTCCAGAAGCAACTGATCACATTGAGGTGCCTCTTTAAAAATAAAAAATAAAAAGTTTCTTGCCATTTTTACATTTTTTTGCCAAATCTATGCCAATATAAGAATACTCCATGATTCTTAAATAATTTCAGTACTGGATTCATTCATTATCTTTTACCCGTCTATTTGATACCAGCTATTTTGTAGTGTAAAAAAAAGACTATTCTATTAAGAGGGGCATTAAACTTTCTTAGGTCATTTCCTCCCATACTCGTGGATGTGTTTACCTGTCTGTGCTTAGCTAATATCGTCTTTTTATAGGGGATTCTAATGTACAAAAAATATGAAATGAGAAATAGTTATTCAACTATAGTTTTAATTACAGTGTAGTTTTTGTGGTAGGAATTATGAAATCAATTGACATATTATTGTACCTTATTTACATCATAGTTCTAAGCCTTTATGAACATACATGTCCAGCCAGGATTTTCGATTTTATTTTAAAGTGTGGGTAAGAGTCAAGCTGGCCAAACATTCATAAAAACTTCAGAACATTCGATAATCCCATCAAGGACTTGTCGAGTGTCGTTCGAAATATGGCTTGATTTTAACATTAAAATTGATTTTTAAATGAAAATCACATTCACTGTTACAATTTCATTTATTCAAGAAAAAAATTGCATC